CCTCCTCCTCCTTCTCCTCCTCCTCCCCTTCATTCGTGCAAGAGCCATGGCACGCGTGGAACTGTTGTTTCTAATGTGTTGGCCCTATTTTGACCTCTTGGGGAAGGGGGCGATTGTGTACGGCCAGTCGTTTGATCGATCTCCTCCAAAAATGGCCCCAAGCTGGTTCCAGAGGCTCCCAAGGGTGTCCCAAGACGGCCCCAAGAGGCACCCAGGACGCCGCAAGAAGCCCCGGCGAGAAGGCCTCAATTATGGATTTGAAAACGGTTTTGTCAACACTTTGGCCTCATGAGGGGGAGGGTAAATTAAGGAGCCCACCTATCCTGTGATCGATCTCCTCCAAGACGGCCCCAAGGTGGCCCCCGAGGCTCCCAAGGGTGCCTCAAGACGGTCCCAACAGGTGCCCAGGAGGCCCCCAAAGGCCACAAAGAGGCCCCCAAGATGCCACCAAGAGGCTCTCAAGAGACCCCCGCGAAGAGACCACCAAGAGGCCCCAAGAGGCCCCCCAGAGCCCCCCAAGACGCCCCAAGAGACCTCGGCGAGAAGACCCATATCATTTATTTTACGACAGATTTGGCTACATATTGGCCCCCTAGGGGTGAAGGCTAATTCATGAGCCCCCCATCCGTGGATCGATCTCCTCCGAGATGGCCCCAAGATGGCCCCAAGGGCTTCCAAGGGCGCCCCAAGACGGCCGCAAGAGGTGCCCAGGAGGCCCCAAGAAGCCCCAAAGATGCCCCCAAGATGCCCCCAAGAGGCTCCTCAGAGATCCCCAGGAGGCTCCAAGAGGCCCTGCAGAGGCACCCAATACGCCTCAAGAGGCCCCAGGGACTGGCCAGAGACCTCCCAGACGGCCCAAGAAGACCCCAAGAAACCATCGAAAAAAATACAGAAAAATGCCTCTGGCTTTTCTTCTCGCCCTCCTCCTCCTCCTTTGCCTCCTCCGTCTGTTTCTCCTCCTTCCTGCTCCCTCCTCCCCTTCCCCCTCTGCCTCCTCCTCCTCCTCCGCCTTCTCCTCCGCCTGCTCCTCCTCCTCCTCCTCCTCCTCCTCCTCCTCCTCCTCCATCCTCCCCCTCTTGGGGTACGGCGTCTTACCCAGCCCT